ATGGTCCTCGGCACTGAGAAAGTGACCTGGAAAAAAAGGAGGTTATATTTTGCTCCTATGTATTGAGCGCACCCCTTATTTTGAATAATTTTCTGCCGAAAAAAGTGCAGTCAATACATGTGTCTTTACGGTAATTCTTTAAAATCCTCTGTGGTCCTGGGTATTGAGCAGGTAAACTACCTATATACATCTACTAGATGAACAGCCGTGCAGGCCCGGGAAATTGAATTTATATACAATTACCATTTACAACAGAAAATATATTATAGTTGTAAATTGTATTTTTTACTGACAGGAATAAATACTTTGTTCAAAATCCCGCATTATGTAGATGTACGTCACCACCCCCACCCACTTTTTGTGAAAACTTTAAAATAAAAATTTCTTTTAATTGATATTTATATGTGAAACCTCATACATTGTTATGAATATACACAATTTACAAATGATTTTTTTTTTTGGGGGGGGGGGGTGCTGTGGGGTGGGGTGCACAACTGGTTATAAAGTAAAAATGCATTTTCTCTTTGTTACCCTGATCTACCTCTGGGTATTAAGTAACCAAAGTAACAAGCTATTTATAATAAGTGTATAGTTATCATAAGCTGTAAATGGCACCTCTTTCAAAATTGTGAATTTCATGGCCTTTGGTTTAAACACGAAGCAATTCAATTCATGGAAAGTTGTTACATGATACTCAGGTGACCTATAAGGCCTGTGGGCCTCTTGTTTTATTATGGCCTATTAATCTAGGCATTTTTTTTTATTTTCACAAATGAAAATGATGTCATCATGCAGCCTTCAATGTCTTATTTATTCAAATTTGGACTATATCATATATAATATTGCTAATTCAATAGCGGAGTTTGATTATCATCAGTGGGTTTTTTTTAACTCTGAGTATTAAAATATGCACCTTAAAGATAATCATTATTGCAGTGCATGCTGTTGATTAAGGAAGAGAGTCTGGCATATTTACTAGCTGCAGAACTGTAGCTCTCCAAGAAAAATATATACTGTATATATACATATATATATATATTGACACACCGGAGAGCTACAGTGCCACCCATTGAAAAAACTATATATTTATTGTGCACAAAAATGTGCACTCGATTCTGGTTTAATTCTTCCAAATTTTTTCCTCAATAGCAAAAAAGCTAGATTTCAAAAAAGTTCTTACTCCTCTATCAATTTCTCTCATAGTTTACGTATGAAGCGCGTTGAACCGAATTCTCTTACAAATCAAAATGGCAGTATAAAAATGCGAAGTTTTCGATGATCTTAAATTCAGGGCCAGGAGGGCTATTAAAAACAATTACAGTGAAGCCTCATTTATCCGGACGCGACGCTTTGGTTCCTAGTCAATTTGTCCAGATATGTGAAGCATCCGGATACCTGAATTACCAGTTAAACAAGAAAAAATAACGTTTAAAAATTCCGTTCCCATGACAAATCGTCCAGATACTGAAGCATCCGGATATCTGGCATCTGGATAACTGAAGGTCCACTGTATTAAGAATGTTTTGTTGTGGAAACATTGAAAGAATATGTTACGAACACACGGTTAGTAATATTTTGATATGACAGTTTTAAAAATTCGGAGAAATAAATTTAGAAACAGCGCACTTTTTTGTGCGCAATAAATATACAGTTTTTTCAAAGGGTGCCCCTGTAGCTCTCCGGTCTGTCAATATATATTTTTTTCAGAGAGCTACAGATCTGCAGCTAGCATTTATACATATGATAAGAGCAATTGAAATTTCAACATTTTTTGAACACAAATCAAAATATGTTTTCACAATCATTCAAAACAAGTTAAAAATATCCACAAAAAACAATATCATACATCTCATTTATACAATACATCTCTGGCCTTCTCGGGGGCTACTCACATATAGAAAAAAATAAAAATATGACTTCCTGGGTTGACACCATTAGGAATTTATAGCTAAAACTGTAACCATAGAAACCTGGGTTGACACCATCAGGTTGTGTATGGGGGTACCCAGGTTGACACCATCAGGATTACATGAAAGGACCTGGGTTGACACCATCAGGTAGCTATTATTACATAATGCAGAAAAAAATTATCTGAATTGGGGGAAAACAGGCAGTAAAACAGGCCTATATCAACAATTGTGAGAGCCCCAATAATGGTATGTACATGTACATGTACAATTAAAACATTTCTGTAACATTTACAAAAGGTGCAGTATCACTGTATGGGGAAGGTGGGTGGGATAACAAAAAACACAGAGTGTGTACATCCAGCTGAAGTTAGAACAAAGGAATGATGATGGTGATTGAAATTTGATGTGGATTAATTAGTTTGGGGGATCATGTGGCCACCGACCCCTCGGGATGTTGCTGTCCCTCGCGCGATGCATTACCTAATATGGACATGAAATACTGGTTCCTAAGACAGATAATCTTTCTAAAAATAGCTTCTTTGTCTATTAGTGTTAAACAATGATTGTTTTTACAAGTTGGATTAGATTTACATGACTTTAACCATATTAACACTACAATTCTTTCTACATGGATTCACCCAATGAATGTTTAATTAGTAGCACAATAATTAACAAAATGTATAGGGATAAAAAACTTGAAAGTTATGTATAAGCAAATTTTTTTCTTACATAAAAAATGTCATTTCATTAATTAATACAATTGAATACAAAAATACATGTATATGACACAACGTTAAGTTCAAATGATTTATTACTATAACATTAATCCTTCAAAATATTCCCTGTGTACTTTGATACACTTTTCAAGTATTCTTAAAGCTCAGCATATTCATTCTTATGTACTCCTTAAAGGCACTGATAGATGGCGCTTCCAATGGCAGATATGGAGTTGCAGTGTCTTCCAGACAGTATTTTCTGTAGTTTAGGAAACTTGTGTGCTATGAAACTTGATAGTTTTCTTGTCCTAATTCCTAAATGATTTAAGGATTTCAGCATTTTAATCCTTGTTTTCTTTTCAGTGAGTAAATGAGGCACCCACCTGACTGTAACTTTCTAAAGTTTTTTTTCTTAGAATTTTTTATGCTGTTCCTGTTGAAATCTGGAGGGCTCTTGCCTCTTCTATTATCATTGTACTCATAGCATCAATATTTCTTGAATCATCAGACTTTTTGGTCTTCCTGTACATGTTAGATTTTTTAGACTTTTTTCTCGGTGTTTGAATTTCTTCAACCATCTGCAGACTGTACTGTGTGAAATCACATATGAATTCCCATGTACAGCTACCATCTCTCTATAGGTGTCTTTTACTGATTTTCCTAGCAATCCACAGTTTTTCATGTAGTATGCTTTATTTCCATTTTCATCTGAGAGGCCATTTTTGAGCTGAAAGTCCCTCACTGTAGTGACTATGCAGTTTTTGAATTGTAAGAATTCGAAAGCTGCAAACTTTCATGCAGTTTTCACAAATTATAGAGAATGAATGGAACTTTAGATCATGAGATACATGTACTGTGTATTTTTTATGGAAAACCATAAGTTGCATTATTCAGTGATTGGGATAAGCTAGGGAGTAAATGTGACAATGGCACACTCCAAGTCAGTGTCAATGTGACATTTCAAAATTCAATGCACCAAACAGACTTTTTAATGGGACATTTCCTAGTTACAAACTATAATTGATTAATTGCTGTTAGAATTTCAGTTGACTTTACTTAATTGAAATTGTCAAATTATTGAATGACGACAGTAAAAGATACAAAATTTATATTTTTGTATATTTAAATTCACAAGTGTCAAGAAATAAATAAACACTACAATTTAATTTCAATTCTTTATTTTTTGTCTCTGATGTTTGACATCTTTAAAATGATTTAAAGCCTGGTTTAGATCTATACTGCTTCCCTCCAATTCATGTTAAATTTTCGTTTTGGTTTTTCCTCAGAGACTGCAGGTACATCATCAGTCTTGCCGTCAGATTCAATCCCTTTCGTTCTGTCAGCATATTATACTTCTTCCAAGTCATTTTCTACCAATTTACTTGAATTCTGTTTGTTAGGATTGTTAGAATTAAGAAAAGGCTGCCCTTTATCGGTAGGAGGTATTTTCTTAGGCAGCATGCTGCACTCCTGACACCAGTCTATTTCGTGCGCATTATCCAATCAGATTAGATACTGGAGAAAAGAAAGTCATAAGAACGCTTTAACTGAACGACATTAAATACTGTGTTTTCAAGCGTAAATTGACAGCGATTGTTGTGGGAAAGACTGCAAGTGCTGGGGGGAAATCTCGAAGTTAAAAAGTATGTAGTGCATCATTTTGCTTCTCTGTCATTTTTTCAATCAGATAAAATAAATGAAGTGCGATTTACACAAATGAAAGCAGAACAAACTAATTATTGATTGGTAATAAGCAATATATTAAGTCGTACAATATTGTGTTCTCGTCTAGTAGCGTGACTTTTTGTGATAAACCGTACTTAGTTAAACCGTGTTCTGTGTTTTATCCCTGATTTTAATAATCTTAACTGCTAATTGTGGTCAAGATATTTTTAGAATTAGTACATCAAAAATAAATATTTTAACAAATAAATAAATAAACGATTCCAGATGCTTACAATTTTAGTCAGCTAGTGTACATGTACACGACATGAGTGTCGGGGTTTCGCTTATAAGTTTTTATCTCTGAAACCTACTTTTAATTATTTTTATAATTTCTGTAAATAAATGATTTGTAAAATAATTGTGGATTTTAGAGATTCACAAATGGAAAGATTGATATAACTTGTAATTTAATTCATTTTCATGTCATTTGTTTTTCAATCTTATCCACCTTTCTGCATATAATAAAATCCTATTCAACATAACTCACGGTCCACCTACTTGTACATCCTCTGACGGAAAAAAGAAAAATCAGTTCTCTAAAGTCGGAGAATTACGTAAATAATTATTTGTAATATACCTGGGTAATTATTTTCAAGCTTTTTGTGATGTGCTGTTGTCAATACACTCTAGATATTTTTTTTTATTTCAGCCTAAAGCTTTGTGTGAGGAGCTACCAGAAATGAATTATAATGAGTCTCTAGGTGCCATAAACCAGGATGAACTTTGGTGGGAAACTGCAGTATCTCATGAATTCTGGATTATAAGATTGACCTCAGCCATTTTAACCAGTGGTGCTGTTAACAATAATCTGTTGTGCTGTCTGAAACCACTTTGTCTTCTGAGAGTAAGTGATCTTAAATGAGATCAAAATGATGAGGAAATGCTGTCCATTAGTTAGTTTTTGCTGTCCAATTTCTTATGAAATACCATATATGAGACTTTGATACATAATAAAAAAACTTATGTCTCTGATGTTTTGGAGGGCCATGTTTACTCTACTCCTATTTTGTATTGTTTTATGGACTTTGATATTGAATACTGTTCATTATTTCCATATCCTTCATTTTCTGCATAAAAGAGTTATGTACACTCTTTTTTCTGGATTTTGCAGGGTCTTTGTTTACTTTGGTTCCTATTTCATAAAAAATTATGGACTTACAGTACCGACCGGACACAACCTATCAGAAAGCAAACCCGGAGCGGACCCCGGGTTCACTCTCTGGGTCCGCTTCGGGTTCTCTCGGGGTCCGCTAGGGCTGACCCCGAGCAAACCCATAGCGGACCCCAAGCGAACCCGAAGTGGACCCAGAGTGAACCCGAAGCGGACCCAGAGAGCGAACCCCAAATTCAGTAGCAGTCCCAGAAAGCGGACATGCGTTCAGTATTTCTTTACGGAGCTGTCAATCAGGATTAGCGATTAACCAATCAGCACGTCGACCAATCAAAATGGCATATCGATCTGCCGATTGGGATAAAAGAACGAATGTGTGATGCTATTCGATATAAATCCAAACATTGTACATACAAACAAAGCATGTGAATGTACACTATAAATTAATTGTGATAATTGTAAAATACTATTTTATATTTATTTATTTTAACTCTCCGGGCCGTATGTTATACGTATTTAGTATCTTTATTTTTTTTTGAAAGCAATTAATAAAATATATATTTTAATTTTCCAGGTAGAATTTTACATGAATAATTAATTATTTATTTTCTTTAGGTTTTTATACCAGTATTTAAAGTCCATTGATAAAATTTAATATAAATTTGGTAAATACATCAGTTGATGCATAAAACAAAAAAAGAAGATAATAATTGGCATTTCAATTTTTGCACTAAAATAAACGAGAAAAGAAAAATAACTGGTCTTTGAAAAATTGTATAATTTCATCATCTCAAGATACAGTACAAGAATATGTCGAGCATACATGTACGTGCCCATTATTCAATTATTTTATTTCTATTGTCTCAATTTACATGTTCCTTCAAATAGAAATTTAACAAAAATATCAACAGGATTTATTAACAAAATCTAGTTTAACGATGAGAATGTACAGTTATGATCCCCCCCCCTTTTTTTGGTCTTGATTTTTCCTGTACTTATTTATATTAAAATATTTAGAAATATTTTTTTTAATAATTTTAAATTAATTACTGTATGTATGTGAAGTATGGGGGTATATTAATATATTCTTATCGGGAGAACAATTATTATTTGTCGTTTAGTTTTTTTTTTATTCTGATTAAAATCATACTCGCTCCATAATTCTGAGCGTAATCTATATAATATATTTATTTTTTTTAAAAATGTGCGGTAAATATTTATTAATAAACTTTCAATGTGTAACTACTATAAATGAAATCTAAATATATGACTTGTACAATTATAGAAATCATAATTCAGTGTTTGTCAAACATTAAAACTTCGATTTAGCAAAACATAAAGAATAACGAATATAATTTAGAACTATTTAACGCTTAAATTTGAAAGGTATTTTGTTTAGAAGCTTTCATCAGTTTCACTAGTACACCATTTGATACATTGAAAATCGATTTAACACCTTTTTCTTCCGCTTCTGTTTTTTTTTTTTTTCCCCGTTATAATTAAGAAAAATAAATGCATAATAGGTCGCTGTTAAATAACTTGGAATTTCTCGGGATTGAAATTCCGAGAATGGTGAAATCATGGAAATAATTATAAATATACGTTGTACGTCGAATTTACAGTTGAATTTTGGAAAATTTATCAATGTTCTCCATAATGTCACTGTTTACATGTACAGTGTACATGTATCGATCGCCGTCAAAACAACAATGGTCGATTCCGCAATTCCACTACTGTAGTGGAATATACAAGGGGCGGGGCTAACTGGCGGCGAGATTAAAGTGGGTCCGCTTCATGCATCAGTGCGTAAAGCGGTCCCGGAAAGCGAACGCCGGGTTTGCTATAGCGGACCCAGAGCTGACCCCGAGCGCACCCAAGGCAGAGCAGTCCCAAAATTTCTGAAAGCGAACCCGGGGTCCGCTTCGGGTTCGCTCTTGTGTTAGGTTGTGTCCGGTCGGTACTGTAGGTCAGTCATAGGTGAGATTCAAACTCACAACCTCCCAATCCTGAAGCGAGCACTCTACTGACTGAGTTGCCATGAACAGTCTGACTTGGATCAATAAATTTCTTTTTTCTGTATTAATTATTTTTTATTCTTTCAATTAGTGTGGAAAGGGTACCCATCCTTGTTTCTTCTAAACTACAACAAATTGTAAAGACTCCATAATATTAGATAGATTTTAACATATTTTTGGATTGTTTATAAATTTTTTACATCAATTTTTATCATTTTTTTCAAAATTTATTGTATTTGAAAGCCAATAAGAAAATTTTGATTGTATTTTACCCAGGAGAATGTTCTGCATAATTTTTTATATTTTCAAATTGTTCATAAAGATTGAAGAATATATTTGAAACTTTTTAAAATACTGAACTAAAATATACATTTTCCCACTTTCCCCCAAATTCTGGTGTATTGTACAGTCATAAAGTTGTAAGATGGTCAGATATATTTTCTTGGGTTACAAAGGCTTCTGAGTACATAAAGATAATTCATTTTCTTAGGAAAAAGTTTGTATGTGTTGTGGGGGGGGGGGGGCTTTCATCTTGATAATTACTTTTCTTGTGTTGTACTGTTAAGTAATTTTTACAAGTATTGCCAGCAGTTATTGCATGGACAATTTATGCTCTATTCTCAAAGCAAAGGAGTTAAAACAATAGTACTGTGTATGTACGTTTGCATCTTTTTCTAAACAGTACCCATTTCTTGTATTTTGCATTGCACTAGCAAAAATTTTCTCATTTCTAATATTTTTTCCTTATCATTTCCTGAAATTTTTTAGGATACCATTTTGGCAATTTAATGTTGACGAAGTAGGCAGAATTTTAAAAGGAATGTTAGATTTATTTAAACCCATTTTCCGGTTAAAAAACATGAAAATACATTCAATACTAAGTCTTTGGTATAATGTTTTGCATGAACTCGTTTACCAGGCAAGTTTTGTTCACTAAATTGAATGTTCACTGAATTTTACATCTGTGAATTCATCAAAAAACAGATTTCCCTCAACAAGGACTGTTATTCCCTCTACCATTTCCATTTTTAAAAAGATTTTTTTTTTTTCAGAGTGAAGTCTGTGAATTTCTTTTACCAATACTGGTATATGACGTTTTAAGTATGGACAATGCTGCTCAAAAAGAAATTCTCTCCCAGCAAATCTCTAAATTCTTCCTACAGCATTGTCGACTATCATCAACAAAATCACAAAGTGGACAAGGTAATGAAAAATATAACTAGATGCTGTCATGAGACAGCAATACCCACACTAAGGTGTTTGTCTCTAAATGCACACTCCTTGAAATTGGGCTTTACCAAGGAAAAAGTCAATATAATTCAATAATTTACATAATACATGTATTCATCAAATTGAGTATAATATGCTCAGGTGACCATGTCACCCATTGGCCTCGATCTTATAGGTATTTCATATTCTTTAAATTCATTACCAGTCTGAAATTAAACAACAGAATTTAATTATAATGATGTAAATTAGGTTTGATAAAGGGGGGGGGTATAAATTTTTGGCCCATAATTGGAACTTTTTAAATCTATTTTCTCATATAGATCAACAACAAATAATATTATTCAAATTAGTGTAAAGCGTTTTTGATGAATTTTTCAAAATGTGTAAACTTTTTTATATTTGATGAGGCAGAAACTCCTTGAAAGCTGCCATATACCCAATCAATTTAGTCAACCCCCACCCCTCTCCCATTAACACACACACACACACACACAAACACACCCTATTTGCCTGTTTTTGGACTGTATTAAATTAAATAAAAGTGCATCAATGATAAGATTGCTTGACATTTTATTCATGAATTTGTGTCAACCTATCCTCCTAAAATTAGGAATAAAAATCATTCAAAGAGATGGACCACATTAAACTATTTGACTATTTGAATGTATTAACATTTTTTTAAAATGTAAAAACAAGTAGTAGTTTGCATACATGAACAAACAGGGGTCTGGGAAGGGGTGAGGGGAAGGATCGAGTTAATATCTCTTTGAATACGTCTTAATGGTTGAAAACTCCTAAAATGAATGTTGACCTCAAATCTGACTTGTCCTCATTATTTTTCAAGTGGTGGTGTCACCATATGAGTGAAAAACTCCTGAAAGGGATGTTTAACAACAAACAAACAAATGACATAAAAACACAATATTGATTTGCGTTAAGAAATATTCAGGGGATTTTTCCATCCTAAATCTTCTTCTCAAGAACAGCAAGGGCATTATTGTCCCCCGTTTTTGGGAAAGGGAGGGGGCATTAAATCTCATTTTTCTGTCAGTCTGTCCATCTCATTGACAGTATGTGAATCTGTCACAATAAGTTTAACCTTGGTCATAACTTTTGAATAATAAGAGATAGAGTTTTCATATTTCACATGTACATTACCACAAAACTTTCTAAATATACTATGATTTTTTAACCCAAGTGAGACCTTGACCTTAAAGTTTTACCTACTTTCCAAAAACTAGCATTTTAAATTGATCATTTTGAAAGAGAAAAGATAGGGCATTCAAATTATACATGTATATTACATGGGCATTCAAATTATACATGTATATTACATGTGAAAAGACTTCTAAATATATCCTGACTTTTGACTCTGTGACCTTGACCTAGAGGTTTAACTTACTTTTCAAAAATATTATATTATATATATAACTTTTGATTGAAAAGAGATAGGACTTTCATATTTGACTTGTACATTACCTGTAACAAAATGTTTCAGAGCATGCTATGATTCTTTCCCCTTTGACCTAATTTTCAAAAATTGACATATGATAGGGGTGCATATTTGACACAAAATCTGCCATATATTATGGCATCCCATTCACTAAAACACAGAAAGCAGAGGACCACAATTCTTTGAATTTGCTTGTATAATCTTGATATGGAAACATCCTCATGTAATGTAGATTCAAGTTTTTTATGCCACGCCATGACTAGGAATTCATGTATAGTTTTTGTCATGTCCCTCCTCCACCCTTCTGTCTGTATTTTCTTCGGGCTCAAAGAAACTTTCTAGATATTTTTATCAAAGTTCATATGTTGATGCATACTGATGTAAACTATCCAACTGCAGCAAAAAATTTTGACCTTGACTTTTCCTTTGACCTTCACTTAACTTTTCTTTAAATTACTGTTTAGCTTTATTTTAAAGAAACCATTCAAGTTGTGTAATGAAACTTCAAATGATGATACATACTGATGTAAGCTTTACAATGCTTTACTCTTTTTTACCTTGACCTTTCCTGTGACCTTGACCTCACTTTTCTAAAATTAATGTCTAGATCAGTTTTGAATAAACAATTCAAGATATATTTATCAAACTTCATATGCTGATACATACTGCTGTAAGCTATTAATGCATCAATTTATTTTGACCTTGAATTTTCCTTTGACCTTTACCTCACTTTTTAAAATATGTGTTTATCTAAGTTTTAAATAAACCATTAATTATATTTTTATCAAACTGCAACTTCACATGCTAATACAGGTAAACTTCGTTATCTCGACATCGGCTGGAGACAATCAAGAAATGTCGAGATATCCGAGGTGTCGAGATATCAGAGTTGAGACTCGACATCCTTAATTTAAAGACCCTATTTTTTTACCATACGGTTACCTGAGGAGGGGGAGTGGTCGAAGTAACAGTGGTGTTATTTACCTGGAGACCCCCAATACCCAAGATGTCAAAAATTTATATATACGTAGCATTACACTGGAAGTCTGTGTCTGGTGATCAGAGTCAACATTCTGTGTTTCGTGTCTAAGTTTGAGTGAAACTACTTGAAATATTTCAATATAAAATTTATTTATTTATACTTTCAGCGATATCTAATGAAGAAAAAATGTTATAAAGAAATATATCGTTCTTATACTTTAAAAAAAATGTAAAATTAAAGAACACAGAGCAAAACTACAAAGTAAACATATCTTTTTTAAATTAAACTTGTGTAAATATCAATATTTAAAAAAATTATAAAATATTCCATTCATAGGCCTATCCGTCATGTGAACATATATACAATGTACTGCGATAGGAATATTACCTACGTTCTGACCAACAATAGTGTCGAAAATATTCACCATTTCCGGGTGTTCGTGTGTTTAGAATTTACTGACGTTAGGAAATTCGAACTAAAAGTTACAATCTCGAAACTATGTTTCTGACATTTCATTTACAACGGAACATGGTGTAGATTGTATTCATATATACAAAGATAAAACATGGGATAAAGGAATTTTTTATCCAAGCCGTTTGTGCTAAATATCTTTTCTTATTTATCATATTCCAATTTTAATCGGCAAATAGCGTTTCTGTGCACGGACCGGTCTTAATTCTACAGCAGATATCTTTGACGACATATCGCCTAAAATACAATATAGCCCTTGAGATTGAAAGCAAATATTTTATGAAATCATGTTTTAATCATTTACTCTCAATTGTTTTTGAAATAAAATTTTACCAAGATTCTTTTTTAACACCAGTGTATACAAGTGGCTACATGTAAGTGTTTGACGCGTGACCAGGCAATCGTTTTCAAAAGACAAACTCAGACTATCAGGTAGCATGGGTAGCTGGCCTATCAATCAAATCAGAAGCTATTGTTTTTTTAATGATTGACAGGCAGTAAATTACTGATCTTGAATCAGGCAGATTTTGGGGGCGTTAACATTAAATTGGGTGTTTAAGTACTGCATAGTAAAACATCTATGTGTAACTACCCGGTACGTACATGTCTTCAATAGACTGTAGCTCGTTTGTTTCAGCTATCCCTCTATATTTATTAAAAAATCTGTGGAATTATTCACAAATGTAGTTTAATAAAATGCTTCCCTTTTTAATGGAAATCTTCTAATTTTACTAATAAAAGTTTTCCATCTAGCATTCCGCGTGCAACTTGCTTTGTCAGAACAGGATACGAAATGCGATCTATAAACTCCAAATCGAAATGGTATAATGTAGACTTCTGTAATGCGAAAAAAAAAATCAATGTGTATTTTTAAAAGTTATTTCACTTAACTTCATTTTTATTCCTCATCATTCATCCACTATTTTTGATTTCATTTTCAAATTAGAATTGAAAAGGGTTTGCATATTAAAACAAGCTCAATAATGTAACACATGCATCGATATCATGCCTGATAGTCATGCGCATGCCATAGATTGGATTGTTTTCTGTTGAATGCATTTTTACCACAATTTCTAAGTTAAATTGAATTTAATGTGCATATTATTCATTATAATTCAGCTACTTTTTTTTTTTACAAAATGCTTAAGTTATGTTAGATTTCGACATAAAAAAACGGTTCTACATTTACGCAGAATTGAGCAGATCTATCAATGATATTACCCAAGCTGAACAGGTTAACCTGCTAAATATTAAACAATTAACGTCTAAGAAACACTGAGGGTGCTTGGGATTCCTCTACAAACACATTTTTACAGAAGCAGTATGTAGTCAAAACATGGTTGTGAAAGGTGTGAATTTCTGACGACGTCGAGATACACGGAGTCGTTCGTGCGTGACGAGCGACCAGCTGACAAACAATTAGGCTAAGCAGAGCAGAAAATTGCCCCAATGTCGACATATATCAGGTAAATTTTGCTCCTGGAACTGTGAATATACGTGGAGATAAGCAGGGTAGTCGACATTACCGAGGTCGACATATCAGAGTTTTTGCATATCATTTATATAGCAAATAATAACGGGACCACGGACGGACGTCGACATATTCCAGGTTGTCGACATATCCGATGTCGAGATACCGAAGTTTACCTGTAGTTAATTCATACTGATGTAAGCTTTTCAACTGCTACAACATTTTGACCCAACCTTAGAACCTTTCCTTTGACCTCTCTTTTCTTTAAAAAAAAAGGTGTTAAGCTAAGTTTCATTAAATAATTCAAGATATTTTTATCAAACATAATATGCTGATGTGTATTAGTGAGAGCTATTCAACTGCATCAAAAACTTCGCCTTGCACATTCCTGTGACCTTGACCTCCCTCCTCTTTAATCTGTATTTTGCTTAGTTTTAAAGAAGTAATTTTTATGTTTAGCATGCTCTTATACATAATTTGGTGAGAATTTATCATCTATATCCAATTTATTTAGATTTTAGTTTCAATTCTAAAGAAACTGCTCAAGATATTTTCATCAAACTTTATACACTGATACAAATTTTCATGTAGCATCA